CACACATACACACAATCACTCAAATTCACGCAGACACACACACACACACACACACACACACACACACACACACACACACACACACACACACACACACACACACACACACATCCATACACACTTACAAACATACGTACTCCAAAACAATGATGCATGTACATACATACATGTTCATTCACATTTACATATAAACAAGCATACATTAGCAACTACTTTCTTTTTTTTTAGCAAGGTTTTACTGCGTTCGCAACAGCATAAGGTCATATGAACGTCAAGGGGTGAATGTCAGCAGAGTAGTCCAAACGAGGAATTAGGCTTACTCTGCTCACCCCTCTTGCCCCAACAGCTCAAAGTCTGCTTCGACTATCAAGGCACCCCGGAAATAGCAGTTCACAAGAGAGTGACAAAATACAAAAGTAGCTGGAAAATGATAATAGTAAAGATGAGGAAAGCCTTTATTCCGACACAGTATGAGCATGACATTAATATGTCAGCCCCTATACAATTCTACTGTGCATAAGAACATGTTGATACCCCCCCCCCCCTTTTGGGAATGGTTTAAAGACACTTCAGTCAGTAGCACTGCCCTTTGCGGGGGGGGGGGGGGATATTCGTATACAAACATGAACAAAAACATACATTTACATGCTCATATAACGCACACAGAGCGAACTGACAGCTTTTTCTTTAGCCTTTATTTTTTGGTGCTTAGTGAAGACACACTTTTACAAATTGGTTGTATTGTTCTAGGTTGAGTATTCAAGAGCCCAAGAATTTATAAAGTTGTGAACAAATACAACACTCATTGTAGGTGCCATAAAAACGGGTTTGCCTTGGTTTACGTTCATCTGTTGAGAGTGCTAAAGGAAAAAAATCTTCTTGGTTTTTTTATTTTATTATTTTAATTCAAGTGTTCGTGTCGGGACAGGGAATTTCATCAGACTACGACAAGCAAAGTACTACCATTTTTTTTCAACGCAATATCGATTGCAGCTTAGAAAACGATGAGGACAAATGTAGAATCTGACCATGCGTAAACCGCAATACTCAAACTGAAATTTAAAAATGGCACTATTGTTTGGTCGCCGGCAGGGGTGTCGACGCCAATTGTGTAAGGCATAAGGGAACTTCCGGTGCTCCAGTTCTCCTTTTATGTATTTACGGTAACATCTTTAGTTTACGGACCATCCCAAAGCTCTGCAGGCAAATTTCGTTTTGTTTTTATTGTGCTTTTGCTCGGGTGGTGACAGTCTATCAATCATCATTTGTCATCATCAAGAGATTCGTAGTGTTTCTTTTCAACCGATATCAGTGTTTACTTCGTACGGTTCAGTTAGTGTATGTTTACTTCGCTATCGAAACTACAATTAAGTGTACAGTTGGGCAGCAAAGGCAACTTTGAAAGGGTTAAAACTACAATGTACTTGTAAACATATACATGCATATATTATTTCACGGTTTGGCTTGCAATATTGTGGTAGTTCAGTTAGTCCAACCTTTAATACACCCCCCCAATCCTACTCCAAGTCTTTAAAAAACCCGCTAGAAGTGAGTAGGAGGTAGTGGGGCCGCTTAGCAAACCTATTGTGCATTTTGTGATACATGCACCAAACTTGGCACAAATGTACATTAACATATTGCAATTATTTTCAGATATTGGGCCACTCGGATTTCTCTCATTATGTCCGTCTTAAGTAGGTCAAGTGGCGAGGTTTCCTATCAAACGTTTGAGCTCCTCTGGGCACTGTCAGTGGGTGTTTGGCGGGTGCTCCGGAGTGGTTTGCTCTTTCTTTCCTATCAAACATTTATCAACCTTATCTCTCCTCTTTCTTTTCTATGTTTGTTACTCTCTAGTAACACTTCTAATCTTCGGCTCTTACTTTACTTTACTTTACTTTATCCGCCACTAGGGTGTCGAGGGGAGAAAGAGCTTTTTGCCTCTGCAAGTTGGATGGCATGGCTGAGTGGACTGTTGTATGTTTTCAGGGTATCCTTCACACCCTCAATCCAGGTCTTCCTTGGTCTTCCTCTTGCCTTGTGCCCTGGTATTTTTTGTAGTACACTTTACTGGCAAGTTGATGAGGTGCCATACGTGTCAGATGTCCAAACCACCAGATTGTTTGCCTCTGAATGCTGTGGAGGACAAGTGTTGTTCCTATCTTTTCTCTGACCCTGTTGTTTCTGATCATGTCATTTCCAGTTTTGTTGACGACTCTCCTTAGACATCTCATCTGGCTGGTGGTTATCTTACGTCCCCGACTGTTGGTCAAAGTCCATATCTGGCATTAGTAGGTCAAGGTGGAGATGAAGATATAGTTAATGAGCTTGGCTTTGGTCTCAACGGGGATGTCGGGATGTTTGAGAAGTGGAGCAAGCTGGTCGCTGACGCTGTTGGCCTTTTGTACTCTCTTCTCAATTTCTCTGTTGAGGCGTTCGTCTTCCGAGAATCTACTACCAAGATACTTTAGCTCGCTGACTTGTTTCGACACTTATATAACCTAATTGTGTAGCACGTGCCATAAAAGTTTTACAAAAATAAGACAGAGAAAAGTGAAAAAGAGCTAGAACTGCTGAAGGAAACAAAATAACTACAAAATCACCAGTCTCTAGATGTACACCACGACAGTCCGCTCATTAGTCCTGTATGATATCTCACTGAGCAAACTCAAATGACGACCATAAGTTGTATTTTTCCCTAGGGCTATTAGGGAAGGTCTCTAAGTTTCATATGAACAATGCTTTTAGCTCTTTGATAGTGGTCGCATTTTAGTGTCTTTTTGCGGCGCATCATCATTTCACATATACAGAAATGTCTCTTGGTAAAGCTGCAGCCGTAGTAGGTACCTTGCTCGCCTTCTGGCATCTATACCCTGGTTTGTTTGAGGAAGGAAAGCGTAATATTGACACAAGACCGACCATTTAATGTCGGGAAAAAGCAAGACAGGCAGACGAACGAAACTCAAACAAAGGAAAAATGTACGTGAACCTCCCAGTAACAGGTCTTTCCAAGTACATGCACATTTAATTTTGTCTCCTTTTTTTCTATACGTCTACCCCATCTCCTTTTTTGAACCTGCTTTTTTAAATCTATTTGTTCCTTTAATTTTTATTTATAACAAAACTCTTCAGCAACTTCAATCTCTGAAACATCTTCTATCTTTAAATCTGTTCCAGGTTTCGGCTTGCTGGAAAGCGGCTGTGTTAGCCCCAAAAACGAGGTAAACATTATGGCCAAAAATGTTGCTGACGTCATCTTCGGAGGCATTTCCTATTGGATGTTGGGCTACGGCTTGAGCTTCGGAGATGGCAGAGGCTCGAATGGTTTTTGTGGAGTAGGCAAGTTCTTTATCGACCCTGAGGATGAGGCGATGGGCGAAGAGTTCTCACGCTTTGTGTTCCAGAGCTCCTTTGCTACTACAGCCACCACGATCGTGTCAGGTAGGACAAAAAAAAAAAAACTCAAAGAGGTCGTTTGTGGTAAATGCTTCTGAAAGTGCTTCTACATTGCAACTGTCTCTTATTCCTATTGCGATTGGTTTAACTGTTACTACAACTGCTTTTGCTTGTATTAATGTTCTACTTCTATTGCTACAGCTTACGTCACCATTTCTCTACTACAGCTGCTTCTAAAACTTCCTCCTCTGTAACAGAGACTGATGCAATAAATGCTTCACTCTTTAAAACTTTCCATATTGTTGCTTGTTTTTAAAAAGCTGACGCTGAGCACGAGGGACCAACCAAAACAGGACCCCACTCGAATTCGAATGTCGAAACATCGAATTCCAGTGCTTATTACTGCTAACCTTACTACTACTACTACTACTACTACTACTGCTGCTGCTGCTGCTGCTGCTGCTGCTGCTGCTGTTGCTGCTGTTGCTGCTGCTGCTGCTGTTGCTGCTGCTGCTGCTGCAGTTGCTGCTGCTGCTGCTGCTGCTGCTGCTGCTGCTGCTTATAATATCCTGGCGGTGTATTATGGCTGTTACCTTTTTTACTCGAATTTTACTAAAAGTGAATAACCACTGCATTTTGTAAAACCTCGCACAGACTATTACACATAATACAGGCCTACGTGTAGACACATAGTGTCCGACTTCATACTTTTCCTATTTTTTCGTCGCGACATTATTTCTCGACAGAAACATGGACTTGAGAAAACGCCTGAGGACTATTGAAATTTGTTTTAGACAGCATCAAAGGAAATATTTATGTCAGGGTGCTTTCATGAGTAGTTCTAGCGAAGCAGACAAAGAGTATTTTGCAGAGAAGTCAGAAAGATGCCTAAGCTTGGAGGGAACGCTTAGATTGTGTGCCCTTTGAGAGCATGAGTTTGATAGCCATATTAGTCGTTTTATCGGTTTGCTGTTATAAAAACATACGAAATCTGATATACCTCATACGTTTTTATGGATCTCAGAAAAGGAAATAGTGGGGGCATGACAGCAATATTGTTGATACAATGCTTTGCAAAACTAAATCTGTGCATATATATTTGACTTTCACGTAAAACCCGACAGTGGTCAACAACTTCATGAAATAATACATCTAAGCAGAGACCAGGGAAGATGACGGCTTGTTGTGGCAAAAAGCAGGGCATCATTGAACAAACATGACCGCGATGACAGGTGATAGATTTAATCAGGGTGTACCTTGAGCTGTCCTTCATTCACAAAAACTGTTGGGACTTTTTTCTTTTACCTGGTCGTAAAATCAGTGTTCTGTAGGTATGTTATTGGTTAAACCTGTTCTGATATCTCAGAGTATAGAGTTCCTGGAATTGAAACAAATTGCAACGAGCGTAATGCGCCCCAACAAAATGCAAAATTATGTAAACAAAACGGTCTTCGAAGTTAAAAAAGAAATTGACCAAACGCTTTTTAGATATTCGTTCTGCCTATAATTGTCGCTTTTAGCATTTTTACCTCTGATCAGCAAATCTACATACAACTTTTTAAAGATGAATAAAAGACAGAAGGTTGCTGTTGGGTTTCTTTTTTTAATACAAGCTTCATAAATCAATGCTGCTTATGGCAGAAATATTCTATCAACCTATCTTTATTGATCTCAATGACAACGAACCTGGATAAGGTTATAGGAATCGTGTGTATCCGTAATATAATTAAGACCAATTATTGGGTAGCCTTTTACAACATTGATTATTACTAGTTGTCATAAAAACAGCGACTGCAAGTATCCGCCTCATTTACATTCTTAAACTTACTCAATCGGGAGTTTTTTTCATTGATTGGAAGAGTGTATTTCTGGTAAGTCCAACGTCTTTCGAATACCTCTATTAGCATCCCTATTTGATTACTTGGTATCCTTCTTTCCCTAACCCACATCTGTATTGATCTAAATTGTCTCGACGGAGGTGCACAAATATTTTATATAAATATATATTCTCATACCTCATTCTCAAGACACAATATTTCGACATCTAATAGGCTACCCATAAATCAGATTTCGTCGCGACTCGATTTCCTGTATAGACTCACCTAGTGGGCTGGGGCGGAGGAAAAGGGGTGGGGGTGTTTCCAATAAACTGCTACTCACCTACTAAAAGTGCAACTCTTGCGATACAGATAATATGTCCTCATGATGAGACCAAATTCAAACGGCTGGATATTTACTGTGGGTCGTTGTCTCTGTCTTCATTCCTGCTTTATTCCATCTACTTTACTAGAAGGTCTTTGTCAGTTACTCCACCATCCAAGTTACCTATTTGTGTATGGTAGTATTAGGGCACTGGCGTCTGTAGTCAAGTGGCTAGGCAGGAGAGCCGAGTTCGATTCCCAAGAGGGAAGGAAATGTTTATCGAGTGTCACGGTCTTTCTACTGAGATGTTGCATCTCTCTCTTTCGGGATTATCCTTGACAGGCAGGGTCGGAATCTTAATTGGTAGATGCGGGTATAAAAACACCTAAATTTAAAAGTAGTAGTAGTAGTAGTAGTAGTAGTAGTAGTAGTAGTAGTAGTAGTAGTAGTAATAGTTAGGTTGTTGTTGCTGTTGTGCTGTTGCTGCTGTTTCTATTTAATTGTAGTTGTAGCAGTAGAAGGGCGTCACTACAAACTGCACATAAAGACAAACCAACTACAAATCTCGCCAGGTGCCATAGCTGAGCGGACAAGGTACATCGCCTACATCATCTTCTCCTTCTTCAACACGTTTGTCTTCTGCTTCCCTGCCCACTGGGTCTGGTCCAAGCACGGCTGGCTCAACAAACTGGGCGTGGTCGACGTGGCGGGGGACGGGCCAGTCCACATTGTGGGCGGAGCTACGTCTCTGGTCGCCACCTTGATGATCCGCCCACGCGCCAAGCGCTTCACCCCCCAGGACGACCACGAGATGGGCTCGCCCACTGGAGCGCTACTAGGATTATTTATACTCTGGTAAGTCAGTATTATCACAGATCGTACTCAACAAGATAGTTCACACAGTCAAAAATATGTCCTCGGAAGTCAGTGCATTGGTTCAGATGGCGCTGCAGTCTTTGTTTTGAAGCTCTCTTTCGTTTCTTCAGAAGAAGAATAGGGATAGCACAGTTTTTTAGTTTCACTTTTAATTTTTTTCACACAAGTAGGGTAACTCTGATCACCAAGCCCGCACTTTTTCGAAGAGGGCGCCACCGAATTTTGAGGACATTTTTTTAATTGGCTCAAAGAAAGAAGTGAACTATCTTGTTATACACGATCTTAGGTAAAATATAAAAGATAGGGCCTATGTACAGCATGTAAATGTTGCACAAAATTGTTGTAAGTCCAAATGTCGTAGTTTGGTATCCAGAATAAAAAGACAGTGCCAAAACATGTTTAATGTTTGAATAGTTATCGATAGTCTATTTTTATATTCTTGTTTTAAAAAATATAATAACTTCTTACGTTTTTAATAGACAGCTTTCATTTTTCTGTCACTTTGATAAAAGAATATTTTTCCCTAAATCTTTGATCTGAGGTTCCTGTCTATCGTCATTTGCTTTTTTAAAAGTTGGAACAGTTTTGGGACATGAGATGCCTACGGTAGTATCTCAGAGATATAGAAAGCTTTCAGTGTGAGCCAAAAGCAATTGTTGTTCGCCTCCGTGACATAACATTTTGATTATCTTTCGCCTTTACGCTCGTGTCTGTGTGCCCTGGAGATTTGAGGACATTACGTGCTCAATAATTATATTTCTTTAAAGAATTGTGATGTTCATTTTCTTTTTTTTGTAAATACATGTAGAAAATAGTAAACATGTCAACTGCTGGATGTTTGCAATCCGTGATCTAAAGTCTAAAAGATAATTGGTAGACGGTAGCGGTTGAGACATTCACCTCGTAATCTGGAGGATTCTAAGATGAGTCTTATTACATCCCAAAAACTCAAGAGGTATTTAAGCTTGGGAGTTTTCCCAGTTCTTTCATATTGGCCACACCTGTTAAATAAAAGGCCTATCTCCTAAATATATGTATACAAATCTGGAAATGAGACACATCAAAAGAGGGCCACTCGAGAGAAACTGGTGGTTTCAGCAATGGTATATCTAGCGTGTAGTCAGAATGCCTTACCCTTGGAGTCACTCGGGAATGGCACCAGAAAAGCCAGACATCAACACCCCCTTCCCCCCCCCCCCCTCTTATTCTTTTTAATTGTCAAATGAAACGGCCTATTATTCCCAAGAACAAGAGTTGCAGATGCGTTGTAGCTTGATCTAGTAATACTTATAATGTGGGTAATTGTGCCACGTCGAAAACAGTATTAATTTGAAGTGTTTCATTAAGTGATTTACTTTTTGAATCGACACGACACAAAATGACCTGAGTCAGACCCGTCCATTTTGAGGCCAAAGATAGTATTATATAAGAATGGTTCAAACTCTTAAAACGCGTCCGCTGCAGCCTCCATGCAATGGTTATTATTGGCTGGTGAAAAGGTTTTGTTTTGTTTCTCAAACTGAAGCTTTTCAGAAAAAAAAGTTTTGATCCGTACTCGAGACTCTCTAAAAATTAGTACCATCCACATTTGATGCCGTTGTGTAGTGTCTTGTAGTATAATCTTTGATGAAGAGTAGCTGTAGAGAGAAATGTGGAATTCAGCTGAAAGGCTCACTTTACAGAGCGAGTTATAGCCTACGAATCCCTTTTCCAACGATTTTGTCTAGAAAACGAGGAAAAGGCACCCGAGATTGCTATTTTCAATGCCTACAGTAATATGTCTCTCTCTCTCTCTCGAGTATTATTCTGAATGCCGTTTAGCATTTTCCCAAACATGACTAAGTATCGATTGAAAGTGGGGGGTTTTCTCCCCTTTCAAATCATATATAAAAGCTAGTTTGGACTTTGAAAAAATTATATTTCCAGAGCCAGAACACCCTGAAGCATTTCCAATTCCATTTCACCGCAGGTCTGCCCAGTACGAAACAAAAATGCCTTTGCTTTCTCGTTCAACTTTTTCGACTTTTTCCGTCAGCTTTACTGTTGCTTTGTTTTGTTTTGTCTTTTGAGTTGGGTTGTTGTTGTTGTTGTTTTAATTGCTTTTGTAATCTGTTTTTCTTTTGAGCGAGGTGTTTTTATCGTTTTTGTTTGTTTGCTTTTTATGGGGTGGGATAGGGTGGGCGGGGGCGCAGAAACCAATCCTGATTTTGTACACTTTCTGAGAATGTAGAATGAAAAAGATGATTCGTGTAGTTGCTGGGGACAGCTGAAAATGGTAAAAGAAATTTTAAAATGTTTAAGAAGAGCCATCCGCTCGTTGTACTGGCTGCACCTTTCCTTGACTAAATTCTGAACCACTTTCCTAAGGATCTTTACATCTGTACTCCTGTACTCAGAATTCAAATATGGCACTGCGACTCCAATTGTGGACGTACAACCTGCAAAACAAAACAAAATAGAAAGATGAAGCAGACCTTTTTTTGCTTCTTTTTTTCAGAAAAGTGGGAGGAGGGAGGGGGGGAGCACAGCAGGTATTCGGATATAGAAAATGAGAGTATATATTGTGACAGTTTTTAGTATTTAATTTGAAAAAGGTTTTTTTTCCTGATATATAGGTCTACAGAATCAATTCTTTTGGTTCACACAAACAATGGCCACAAATTTATATTTTATTGCTTATGTTATGGTCAATGAGCTATGTATGGCGGGTGTGGCGGTAGTGGAAGGGGGGAGGCAAAAGGTAGCCCTATTGTGTTAGAAGAGTGAATGTTTTCTACAGTTTCTAAATGAAACTACACTGTTTCACCAAATTCTTGCCTTTGATTTGTAGCAAAAGGCATAGTGGGAGACAAAACTAGCAAAGGAATGTTAGAAGTATACCTAAACGTGCGTGTGTGTGTGTGTGTGTTTGTGTGTGTGTGTGTGTGTGTGTGTGTGTGTGTGTGTGTGTTGTGTGGGAAAGAAAGAAAGAGAGAGAGAGAGAGAGAGAGAGAGAGAGACTGAGAGACAGACAGACAGACAGACAGACAGACAGACAGACAGTTGTACAGACTGACAGACAGACAGACAAACAGACAGACAGACAGACAGACAGACAGACAGACAGACAGACTGAAAGACAGACAGACAGACAGACAGGGTGGAGAGAGGAAGGAAGGTACGAATTTTGTCTCTGATTTCGACTGTTGCACTAAATTAATTTCGCTACCCACTCTTAATAAAGACCCACTATTCCACTTAACACGTTGACAATGATAACGTTTTTAAAGCGTGTCAAGCTATGATGCCATTAGGGCGGGTGGTGGGGTAGGAGGGAGGGAGAGAGAGAGAGAGAGGGGGAGAGAGAGAGAGAGAGAGAGAGAGAGAGAGAGAGAGAGAGAGAGAGAGAGAGAGAGACTGTCCTCAACAGATTTTTTTTCGCCCAGCTACTGAGAGTAGCCACCAAAGGCAGGTGCACTTTCTACAGATTTAATAAATAACAGTGGTTATTCACGCTTCGCTCGAATCGATAATAACATCTTCTCTCCAAATATATTGACGTATTATACCACTCCATTAAAGGCACTACTGTGGATAATTGATATACACATGAAGACGAGCCTAACGATTTGGCCTGTTGTGTACTATAGTTTCAAGAATATCCCAGTCAATGCGTTATGATTTTTATGTGTACTCTGATTGCAGTTTTACGGTTCAAATGTCCTTTGATTATGAAATGAAACAGTACACCAAGACATTATTCAGTAAAATCTATCAAAAACATTAATTACGTGTCTGCAAATCTCAATGAAAATATCAGTTCTCCTGTCTCGCCACCTCCCCTTATATCTTCTTTAAACGACCCTCCATGGGCAATCAAGTCCATCTTCAGTTATCCTTTTATTTTGTCTCACAATCCAGTTTCGTAGCAGTCTAATTCATAATGCGCATATTTTATCCGTAAGTTTTTATTCGAGTGCTCATCATTATTACCATTTGCTCCCTCAAGCCTAATTCTTCTGTGAAGACCTCTAGACTACTACGTATAGTGGAAACTTCATTAAGTAGATGAGCGGGAGCAACAACGTAACATCGTCTCCATTATATCGTCATCTCATCAATGCTGATTGGAAATTTTGCTTCCCTGCCTGTGGGCTCTGATTCTGCAATAACCCTCCCTCCATCCTACCCCTCCCACCCCCCACCCCTACCCACATCCCTCCCTCCCTCCCTGCTCCTCTCCTCTCACGCAATTGTGTTTCGTCTTTCTTACATGCATCCATGTTGCGTCGTTTAGCTGGAAATCCAAATACAGGAAACAACAACGAAATATGGACGGTTCGGGGATAATGTAAATTGCGGAAGACAGAAAATTACGTTGAAACATCAACGTGAAGCGTGAATCATTAATAATAACCGGGCTCGTTGAGTTGTTGAATTTAAGTTCACTTTTCGGTGTCCCTCCAGGCCGAAGTATTTTTAGTCTTCTTGCATCACTCTCCTCTTAATCAGCCCTGGGGCTAGGTACCGAGGGTACTCATCATGATTATAACTGTCTGAACCGTGACTGCCTTCCCTTGGCAGAGTGACGTATCTGACTAAACCGAGTTTTGCTTTTTCATTTTATTGTTTGTTACACTAGTCTTGCGCAACTCTTTTTTATATCAAAAGCTGGACGGCGAGTCTGCATGCGAAGCAGTAGTTTGTTTTTATAGTGGTAGGTCTACGTAAGTGACTGATCTCAATCCCATTGTTGCATTATTCATGGCAGAGTAGCGTATCTACATTTCTGCACATTCGTGTTTAGAAACATTTAAAACTGAGCAAAGCTCCAAGAGTTGTTTTTGTTGGCTTGTTTTGGTATTTTTTGTCGTTTGTTTTTTTTTAATGTTTTTTGAAACTCATGATATTAATTTATGTGCAGTTTTAACGCTCTGTCTTTGGACGACAGTGTAATATGATCAGTAATAGGAGCGCTGTGCTCTATTTTCGGTCACCAGATATTCCATACTCAGAGAGGAAGGATGCCAACTGAACGGCAGAAAGATGATTAGTATAGATTATTGATCTTCAGCGTTACTGAGTCCTTTTTCTCCTTTTTGCAGATAATAACATACACGTAGCAACAGCTTCTGGTTTTGCTGTCATCATCATCCTCACCATCATCATCATCATCATCATCATCATCATCATCATCATCATCATCATCATCATCATCATCATCACATCATCATCATCATCACTCCTCTCCTTTCTCTCTCTCTCTCTCTCTCTCTCTCTCTCTCTCTCTCTCTCTCTCTCTCTCTCTCAATCTCTCTCTCTCTCTCTCTCTCTCTCTCTCTCTCTCTCTCTCTCTCTCTCTCTCTCTCTCTCTCTATCTCTCTCTCTCTCTCTCTCCTTTCGTTCAACACCGCTCTGATCATCAATGAAACTCTTCTGAACTGTAATTGCATTATACAAATAAACTTATAATCTTGAATACTTCATATATATCTGCTAGTTTTTTTATATGAAAATTGCCATTTCCATAATTAAATTTGTTCTCTGGCGTATCGTGTTGTATTTTTGGCAAAACACTTCTTTTATTTCTGTTGTTCATAAAAACGACATTTTCGATAATTTTATTTGTTTTGGTTTTTTTCAACTCTAGGTGGGGTTGGCTCGCTTTTAACTGTGGCAGCACATACGGTATTTCTAACGGCAAATGGAAAATGGCAGCAAGGTGAGGCTTGTTTGATTTATTCTTGTTTTGTTTTGTTGATTATTGTGTCATTGTTTGCTTGCTGGTGTGTGTTTTTTGTCGAAGCCCGCCTCCTAAATGTTCTAATTAATGTCATTTCAGGCGTAAAAACACCAGCATTAAAAAATATCAAAGAAGCATCCAGGCAAGTTAAAAGATACCGAAAGACTTTTTTTTAACGTAAAATGGGTACCCAGCGACAGACAGCGAAAGATCTTGACAGTATGTTAGTTATTTAGAGCCTATAGAACGGCAGCTTGCACTGAATGCTTCCCAGGAAGTTGAGATTGTTTCAGACGGCTATCAAGTCTGCTGGGGTCATAATACAAATTACAAAGTGCATAGAACTTGCTGTTGCAAGGGAATATGTACAATAGAAATGCTATCTAATGCCAACTGGAAAGGCACAAGACAGCCTAGTTTAGACTCAAACGTCCACAATTCTTTGTTTGTATTCGCCCCAACTGCCATTTCTACCCCCCCCCCCCCCCCCCACTCCCTCACATACACACCCCTGGAATTTAAGAAGAGAGAAAAAGAAACGTTGCCAACTTTTAATAATTATTGTTCCTTGATCATGCATCTTTTCTTTCCTTTTAAACATTTATAGTTTATGTAATCTCTACAAAATATTGCTTGAACACGAACAACCGGTATCACAGTTTAAGAAATTGCATTTTTAAAATAATTTTTTTTTTTTTTTTTTTTTTTTTTTTGGGGGGGGGGGGGCTTTGTATCTCTGAACTGCGAGCCGACGACACGCACATTCATAACCAGGCGTAAAATCTAGACAAGTACATCACAGACATATCATAGAAGGTTTTTTTTCCTTTCTTTTGTTTTGTAACAGAAAGGTGCCCCATATGGTATCCATTTTCAGAGTATAATTACGTGAACGTTTTTAACACTTGTGCTGACAGTTGTTGGACAGCTTATGCTGAGAATCCACCAATAAGTTGGCAGATAGTAAGAATTGTTGCTGTTGTTGTTTTTTTCAATCCCCTCAACTTGAGGAGCGTTAATGTTATGTTGTGAGTGCTTTGATGTTTGATTGCTTTATGTGATCTTAGATGTTTTATTCGTTTTGTGTTTTCGTTTTCTGTGCAGGGTAATGACAAAGCACTCTATACACTGACACACTTCAGTATATTCTAAGAGATACCGTGGTGCTGAATATAGAGATTGGTGGCTGATGTCCACTTTTAAAGATAGTCTATGGTGTATATAGATAAAAATAATTGAAAGGTTCCCCAATTCTGACGCGCATTTGATGTGATTAGCTCTCTATTTGAGAAATGGTTTTCCGTCAAGAAAAGGAAAATGCTATATTTATCAAGACTTACATATATCTTAGTCTTCAAGTCTGACTTTGAAAGTAAGTCCAAGGATAATAAAATTCGAACTGAAGAATAGCGAAAGTTGTTTTTCTTTTTTTCTTCCTTCTTAAGGGGGGGGGGAGGGGTCCCACAAGCGAGCTAACTCCTTTATTTTTATTTCTGGACCTAGAAACCTTAAATTTGGCATACAACTTCGTCATGATACAGGTATTACGATGAAAAAAAAAATTTCCCGGATACAAGGTGGCCGCCATTATTATGGCGGCCATATTGGATTTTCACATCATGTTTTCAAATCAATGCTCCTCTGAAATTTACCGATGGATTTTATTGTCCTTTGGCACACATGTACCCAAGAGGCATATAAATTAAACATAGTCAGTATCTTTCGATATCTTATTTCGTTTCGGAGTTACAGGAAGAAGCGTACAAATCTTGTCAAAAATGCAGAAAACGTTCAATTTTCCAATTTTTTAAAATCATAAAATGAAAACCAAGATAGGTATAAAAAAACGCTGACTAGGTAATGTAACCACCCCTAAGGGCAACAAGTTTCCCAAGTGCCATCAAGATACACCTGTAATCTACAGAGGAGTTTCGAAAAATGTGTCAAAAATTAAAAAATCAAATATTTTTGACAAAAAAGGAGATACCTCTCTAATTAGTGAAGATAGAATAACAATGTAGAAAAAAATTTTGGGCATCCAACTAGCTACGATTGTGCCAAAGGACAATCAAATCAACAGAGAAATGACTGAGAAAAGGCAAAAAATATTGTAATACCCAATTTGACCCAGATTGACCAAAAATAGGTGGGACCCCCCCCCCTCCCCTTAATAATATGTGGAGCTCTTCTTGCCATTGAATTGGGGTTTCCTTCGCTAAAGGAAGGTGGTTTCCGTTGTACCCTTTACCGCGTGCACTATTCAGTTGTGTTTGAATGTCATCTTAGACTTTTTAAAATGGGGGCTCTCGTAGCCTAGAGGTTAAGGTGTTCGACTCTCATTCAAAGGTCCCGGGTTCGAATCCGGGTAGCAACGAAAAAAAATTCTTCTCTTAACTCCTTTCACCTCCTTTCCTGCTCTCTAGCAATGTTCTATCCTCTGCTTGCCTCTCCACTTTCTGTCCCCACACTCTCACCTCCTTTGCCCCCTCCTTTGGGCTCCTGATTCTTTCTGCAGCCCTTTTACTGCTTGACACCTTCTTACTGCTGTCTTTCAGCCACACCCCTGATCTTCTGGTAGGAAAGATCTACACCTAGCCTGCTCAGACAAGGACGAAAAATCTCTGATGCCCCTTGTGCAAGTTGCGCACGTTAAAGATCCCTTGGTCGTCTAAAATCGATAGGAGTAGGCTTTGGTCGCCATCCGGGCAAAATTCAAAATTTCTTTTCAACTGAAAATGTTTAATGTGTACCGCGCGCTCATGTGACCTTATGCAGTTGTGAGCGCCGTAAAAAACTTACAAAACCAAACAGACTCTTTACATGCTTTCGGGACTACGTCTTGTAGAGGACAATATTATGTACTTGATAACTGCACACTCGTTTACCGCTGGCCTTTCTGCCCAATCTCCATCTATTCTGAAACCTGCCAAGTGTATTTAGTTTATATTATTTATCATCGCTTTTTACTGTCCCCAGGGCTGCAGCTACCACACTCATGTCAGCGTCTGCAGGGGGCTGTGTGTCCTTTATCGCAAGGTGAGATGAAGCTCTCTTTTATTTTCACAAGTCACTCATACTTTTCTGGAGCAAGGCTATAGATCTAGGACCTTTTCCTTCAAAGTAAAAGCTTCACACTTTTGACCAGTGCTTGCAAGCCTGGGTAATATCACCACTAACTGTTTTCTTCTTACTGATCCCGTAATCCACGAGAATCATAGGGGCGCTGTATGATAGAGAGCCTCGTCAGGTGCTACCACTTTTGGCAGTTTTTGAGCGCGCCTGAGTTTGGGCGAAGGATTTCCTTGTCCACTCCGCAATGTCGTCGGTCCACCTCTTCCATTGCCTTACTCTTTCTCCTCCCCTGCACTGTTCCCTGAGGAATGGTCTTGGATAGGCCACACGATCGTGTTACATGACAATACCAATTCATTTTTCTTCGCTTCACGGTAGACAGCAAGTCTAAATAGTGGCCCATGCATTGTTTCACTCTATTGCGCACTTCCTCACTTGTGGTCATTTTATGAGTTGCCATAGAGTAGTCTAAAGCATCTCTTTTCGGCTGCGGACACACCCCTGATCTTCTGGTAAGAAAGATCTACACAGCCTGCTCAGACAATGACGAAAAATCTTGGATGCCCACTAGTGGGCGATAATTTGGTAATTTTGGTGGACATTGAGGCTCATCCCGGTAGTAACAGGTATTATTTAACGCCTTGCTTAGAAAAAAAATTTTGGTAGATGTGCAGTACGAAAAGTGTAGCCTCTTGAAGGCAAAAGTGGGCGCTAGCTCTAGAAAAGTTGACATGCTTAAACCCCGTGATGAAAACCGACTTCTTCTCCTGCTGTTCACTCCTCATAAGAGCGCAATACCAAAGTGGGGTTCGTGTGTTCCAAACACTTGACGCTATTTATTGGCTTTGATCTGATCAAAGACCATAAATCTTGGGGGAGGGGGAGGTGTTGTTTTGTTTGTTTGTTTTAAGATGAGGTGTGGAAAAGTTGGATACTGAAAGCGCACAAGCATCCAGCAATCCAACTCATCTGTTCACCCAAGCAAACTATTCTTCCATTTGACAACCATTCTCCTGTCCATTTTCCACTTTCCACCCATCCATCAATCTATCCATCACCGCATTCATCCGGTCTTTCGCTTTCGTCTGTTCATGCAGGCAATAAACACGTGAACCTTGCCGTACCTAAACAACACACAATTCTTTATCTATTTTTTTTTTAGTTCACGCCCTTGAGGACATTGAAACTGTTGGGGGATTTCACGTGCGGTAACAAGCACCCCGAAAAAAATGTTACGGTATTAGGGGAGAAAATTTATTTGAATTTCTCTCTCTCTCTCTCTCTCTCTCTCTCTCTCTCTCTCTCTA